TGGCGCAAAAAAGGTTGGAGACCGCTGGTTTAAAGGAAAAATATCAAACAAAGATTTAACGAGGCTTAAAAGATAAGACATGTGAGACTTTTAAAATTTAATACAGCTCTTGTTGGGCATTGGGCCATTTAGAAGTTTAAGGCAGATTTACCCTTTTGTTGTTTATTTAAAATTAGATTTAGCTCATTTTGTTTTCTTTAAAGGTCCTAAAAGTATAAAGTCCAGCCCAACTTTTAAATCATGTTTACTGTTTGAGGGCTTCAGCTGAATTTCAATACAATTATGGCCTGAATAACATTAATGATTTTTGTTTCTTTCATCCCAGTCATCGACATCATGGTGCCTGAGATCTGCTGCTTCTGTAAAAAGGAAGTGGGCTCTGAGAGCGCAGGAAGTCATTGAGTTCAAAGCCCTGTGAGAACATTGGGATTTGTCCAGGAAGAAAAAAGATTATATGACAGAAATGCCACATCTATAGGTTTGAATGTGATCTGTACTTCATTCTTTACAGGTTCAAGCTGCCAAACCTTTTATTCACATAAGTCAATACATATTGAATGCACTTTACGGTGTTTTTTGTGACTACGGTTCAAAGAGTTGAAGGAATAAACAGAAGCAGCAAAGCCAAAACGTCCAAAAACTCTAGCAGTCAACTGATCCTCAGCAGCTCTTAGCTTCCCACAGTTCCTCGTATGATTGTGCCCGACTCTCCCAGACTGCAAGCCAACAGCTGTAAATGAACGCCAATTCACTCGCATTTCCTTCACATCTCGTTATACCGCTTCACCTTCACACAGAACAGAGTCGCACTTTTTTCCTACTCAACCATAAGTGCATCACCTTGTACTCGATGTAAGCTGTGTACCTCCCACCTCTTCTCCTGTTTAGTACCACATCTAGCACCGGCACTGGCATGTGGGAAAAAAATGGAGGCCAATTACTGCGAGGGGGGTGGGGGGGAAGCTGAGAGCAGAGCTGTCATCAGTCGTCCTGCCCTTCAACTCTTGGTACGACACAGAGGAGAGGGAGGGAGGGCAATGCAGAGGAATAAAACACGAGAGGGATGAAGAGAGATTTGATCGCTTGCCCAGGTTTGTCACTCCCAGAGGGACGTGCCCTGACCATGTAAGCAGATGGCAGGTTCTATGTGTGTGTGCGCATGCAGCCATTCAGCAGAGTGTGACTGGTGTACAGTGTCGACAGCTGTAAGGAACGATGCTGTCATTCGCCAACGAGTCGTTTCCGAACTTAGAAGTCAAGCTGAGGTTGAGACGACAGCATCGGCACTCCCGATAACACATTTAAACATTAAGGCTTCCTCCTCCACAAGCCAGCCTCGTCTGAATTATCATTACAAGTATCCAGACTGATAACTGATTTTGCCACTGCAATCTACTAATTCAACTATGAGTGAAAAAACTGAAGAAGCAAACTCTGTGGGTGCTTCCATAAATCCTTTGCCGTCAAATTGAATTTCACACTGCCGCCCCAGAGCTATATCAGCTTTATGAGAAGACAAAGCACTGTGCAATCAGCGTCTGTCAACTCCAAATGTGTGTCGATGAGTGATGCGTGCTGTAGGCGCCCTGATGATGAAGTATGATCGGAAATGTAGGTCTTAATTGGATTCAATTTAAGTATTTGAGCCTTAATTTGAATCTTGGTCTTAATCTTATTTCTGTAACTTTGAAAGTTTGTTACAATAATGCAGAAAACAAGAGCTCCAGGTGAAGGAAGATGACTTACTTTAGCTATGTCAGCTTCATATGGTTAGGTGTGTTGGGCAGTGTACTTGTAGTTGAGCTCTTACATGGTCTACTGACTTGATATGTCACAGGAAGATGACTATGAATGCTTAGTATGTTATTGGCTTGCTTGTATGGCAGCTAAAGCCTGAAGACTAACCCCTCCTCAGACCACACTGATAAATTCTAATACTTGGCTGTGTCCTGCGTTTGCTTAACAAACTGCTGTATTTACATAAATAAATAAAAAAAGAAGGCTTACCATAAATTTTCTGGATGCCTAGCAGGTCATCCATTGGTAGTTTGAAGTCATCCGTGTCCATGTACTGATAGAAAGGAGCCATGATAGCTGTGGGGTCGTTGGAGTGTTCGAGGCCCAGTGCGTGACCAAGCTCATGGACGGCTACCAGGAACAAATCGTTACCTAGAAACACGAAGAGAGAGTGAAGGAGAGAGCAGCTCTGTCAGTGCTATTGGACGTAAACGAAAGCAAGCGAATTCGGAAAAAGAAAAAGAAAAGAGAAAACTTTGTCAGCCCCGGGTTATTGTGGCTTGTCAGGGTCCACCTGTTCTAGTGCCAGAGAGGTTCCCTCAAAATAAGGCCAAGTTTTGAAAGTTTGTACAGCCATGTTTAAATAAGCAGCAGCCCTACAGGGGAAAAGTTTCCTGTTAGTTTGAGGTTAGACAGCTGACTGTGTCTTACAATATGCATCCATATATATATAAGGGTCTATGCACGAGCACAGATAATCCACCATCTGCGCTCCTAATCAGTGCATCTTCAGACAGAAACACAGGCCCGCACACATACACGTGTAATAAATACAAGTACACTTCAAAGAGCACAGGCAACCCTGCGAACTGTAATTAGTCTCTAGCTGCGGAAAGCTGAAGACTACACTGGGTTCTTGACCTCTCGACTCAGAAACTCTCTGAGCCAACTAACAGCCAAACCCCAGCCCAACCCTAGCTGTATTAAAGCTGAGATATTTGGGATTGAAAGCCTCCTATTCCTCAACTTACGTCACTGGCAACCAAAACAACAACAAAAACCAGTCCTCCTCATCCTCCTCTCTGATGTTCTGCCAGCGTTTTGAATCTGACCCATAAAGAAGCTCATCATCATACAATTAGGGTTAGACTGCTACGTCTTCTATTATTTGTGACTATACATGGGCTGTCTGTGGGAAACTATTAACCTGATTCCAATGAGACGTCTTACGCTGCAATATGTTGTTGCTGAACTTCAAAGGAAAGCTTTTTTTCCTAGCTGTCAGACTCAAAAAGTTATGGTTTACTGTTATGCATGAAAATGTAATAGCAGTTAGACAAAGGTCGGCTGGAGTTTAGAATCAAACTTGTCAAAAACAAAAAAATATGGGGTGAGCACCATCACCTCGCAGCAAAAAGGGTTCGCTCTGGATACTCTGGCTTCTTCCCACAGTCCAAAGACAAAGCTGGGGTTAGGTTAACTTGTGACTCTAAATTGAGCTTGTCTGTCTGTGTTAACCCTGCGACAGACTGGCCAGGGTGTGCCCTGCCTCTCGTCCTGCGATGCTAACCTGGATTAGTGGAAGAAAATGGCTGGAGAAAAAAAATAGGATTTAATGTGTTTTGAGGGGGGTTTCTTTTGCACTCTCCAAGCTGCCATCTCTCTTCAGTTTTACCTTTGCTTTTTTTTTTTCTTTCTCCCCCCTTATCGCGACAAGACTCAGTGGGGATAAGCATCACTTATTCATTGGTATTCCTACTAAAGTGAGGCACTTATCTGCTGCAAATCTGTCACATGAATAACGTATCAGCAGATACAGAGACTGAGATTTAGATCTCTTCATCGTAGGTACAGTACGATACTTAGGAATTTACGGACAAGGCTACAGCAGAGAAACGGGTTAATTGGGACCTCATAAATGATCTTTGACTGTATAAATGTCAGCAGGTCTTTATAGGCTTGATGGAAAGCTCTTGCGTTAATACCCAGGTTTTCGCTGAAACAGCTTCGGGTTTCAGTCCAAGTCGTCCAATGAAAATAGATGGCTTGTAAAAGTTAGAGAAGTGTAGAAATTGAGGCAAAATTTATGCAAGCTTGTAATATTGAACAAGTGTCTGGAGATGTGGTTTATAGCAAATAAAGAGAGGCAGGGAGAAAGAAAGGAGATAAAGAGGAGAGAGATACAGCTCAGTGATTCAGGAATTATTTGAGGAGGAAATCGGGCGAGCCAGCTCTGCAGCTGAAGATCTTCCACCCCCCGCCCGAGTTGTTTCCTGGGATAGCAGCGGAAGCAGAAGGGTAAGAGTGAACAATTAAGTCTAAAAAAAATGTAAAAATCAAATTAATTCTACGAAAATAGCCGGTAGAGTTACAGCACACAAATGTGATGGTGGTCTGTGAAGAGATTTTGATCTTAGTGTAGCTGTACACGTGCTTGCTCAATTTACCCACACTAACTGGCATCATTTCTGACTTCATAAATCATATTAATAACTCACTGACCGCATCAGCACTCACTGACTCAATGACCTCATTTTTTTTCTTACCAAAAAAGACTTGAAGCTCAGAGGAGTGTTAAAAAATATGTGTGTAGCACGTTTTGTCATCATATGTGAGTAAAGTGGAATTATTGACTGTATATGTAATATTAATGCGTCTGTCATCTCATCGTACCTGATCATTAGTACCCAGAAGGTTATTAGTAAACAAGTAAAGGTTTATTTATGTGGCACTTTTCACAGACTAGGCAGTCACAAAGTAAAAAATATTGACTGTAGTAAGTTGTCCCAGTATATATATATATATATATATATATATATATATATATAGCTCTCATATACTGTTTTATTGAGAAATACAGTATATGAGAGCTATTGCACAACGAGTTCTGACACTACAGATGTTCAGGTCATCAGGTGCACGACTTAAGTGAAGAACTGTCTCTGTCGTTTTCCGTCTCCATCTCGTTCCATCGCTCAATCTTGAGTCAGCCTTCCTGCCTCCCGGGTCCCTCTGAGGTCAGTGTTGTCGCTTTGACTCGGCTGCTTATGTAAGTCACGTTGTGTTAGATGGGGATGTCCTGTCGACCCCGGGGCCACAAACAAAGCTAAGGCAGTTTGTACCGCCTGGCTAATTATCAGCTGGAAGTTACAGAGAGCCCAGAGAGAAAATGGTGACGCCTAGACAGACATGGGTAGATGAAGAGGATGGAGCCAGATGAAAGAAACAAAGAGCTTCGGTGAACAAGGAGGGAAACCAAGCGAGATGAAGGTGAGAGAAAAAGTTATGGAATGGGGGAACGGAGGGGGGGCAGACGAAGATTTGATATAGTGGATACATAGAGAGATAAAAAAAGGTGAAGTAAACCAAGGAGAAAGGGCGTTTGGAGTGATAGCTACATGAGGGAAACTGGGGGGAGAAGGATGATAAAAAGAAATAGAAAAAACCTGAGGCGAGGAAAACGATAAGGTTCGGGACAGTGTACTATCGTGTAAGAGTGCTCCAGTATTCGTTCAATCACAGAGGACGAAAATGATGAATTACACGACTCCAACCTCTGACCTTGGCATTTATAACAACGCTCTACTGTCAGTGGCCCAATCGCAACCCCAAACACAAAATAATAACGCCGAAAATAGAGGATGCAGTTGAAGAAAACAATACCAGGAGATGAAATGCATTACAAATCTGTGCAGGGTTTGTGCGATAATCCACAGAGGGTCACAGTTTTTGGATTGGGGGGATTTGAGTCCTGTATTTTCATCGTACGGTGAGTCATCGTTATGTGTGCCGTTTGCGTATTTGAGCAAGACTTCAGCACAAAAAAAAGACAAGTATTTATTTAGCACACGAATGAGTTTTAAGTAATAAAAATCTGCTTGTGTTAAATGATTGCAGGTTTTTTTTTTTTTGTCCTGTTAAGTGGGCAACGATCAAGCGGCAGCTGCAGTGTTGCCCACACTGCTCAGGATAGGGTCAAGGTTGCTGCTAATGAGGGTCGAGGAGAAAAAAAAGAAAAATGAAATTAAAAAAATTGAAGTTGGAATGAAAGTGGAGATTTACAATCTTTGCCCACAGGATGTGCAATAAGCAGGGGCTTTGATTAAAACGCAGAAACCTCTACCTGCTCTCCCTGAACTTACCGCGAGGAGTGCAGACAGACTGCGTAGGGTTGGAGATGAACACACACTATGGTCACCACTGTTCAATTGCAGTAATAGCTCAGGTTGTCAGCAAAAGCCTCCAGGGGCCCATAACCCTTCCTGCTTGCTTACTGCTTAACTAAGTGCCCGTGGTTCACTCAATACATGACATCTGATGTAAGCTACAAGCCTGGGTGACCAGCAGTCAGCCCACTTGTAAGTGTACCTTGTTCTTTATCCCTCCCAGCTCTCACGTTATCACATTCTTGTGCTTCTTTTTTACTGTATACAAATCCCAAACGCCACCCAAGGACCAAGTTTTCAAAAACACAGCATCCCCTGTGACTCCTAACTACACATCGACGTCAAGCTAGTGAAAGGTGTCAAACAAAGCAATTACAACTCTCACTTGTTTTATTACAGTGAAGAGGGCACCCAGCAGAGATGAACAAAATTCTAACTCCCCCACCCTTTCTTTAGAAAACACAGCTGTTATTGTGCCGTCCGAGTGTAAGCAAGCATAAGCACTCTCTTTGTCTCAGGGGATCACAAATGTTTCCTATTGTTCAGCTCCCACAGCGCCCTGAATGGCTGACACTGTGATTTCAAGAGTGGTGTTCGAAGAAGCAGCACTGCACAGTAAAGTAAATGCAAAAGGATGTTAATTGCCACCTCAGGAGCGTCTCTGGTGGATTGACAGAGCGCAAGAAACAAGAGCAAGGACTCTGGTTCTTTGGTTTCATATGGAAGTCTCAGCAGAACCTAAAGCAGCCATCACCAGTTTTTTTTTAAGCCTTGTCTAAGCCTAAATTGTAAGTCCAGGTCTAAGAAGTTAACCAAGGAAGTGTGGCACGCAACCTGCACAATTATGAAGTACGAAAAACACCGTTTTAAACAAAATAAGCTAAGCGTACGTTAGCTCATCCTAGCTGCCATCTCTTGGCTACGTAATCCCTTCTGGTTCCTTTGCTTTTTTTCTACTGACTTTAACTGTTTTTACATTACATTCAAACTATTCATCAGTGTTTAGCTATAACTTTTAGCTAACTACTTCAGCTCCTTAAGCACTGCTGTACTGTTAGTTAATTATTAGCTATTTTAATAGTTCAGCTATTTGTACATGACTTTAGCTTATTATTATTTTAACTGTCTGTTCATTATTTTAGCAAAACATGTCAACTGTTTATTCAGTGCTGTTGCAGTTCATTACTTCTGTTGTTTATGCGTTTATGTGTTTATTCAGCTCATTAGTCATTAATTCTTAGCTAATTATTTGCTAATTTTAACTAT